ATTCAGCAGCAAGTTTGAGGGGGATTTGCAAAGGGGGATTTCGAAATTCAGGGTTCGATCCCCGCTGGGGACACTAAACGGGTAGTCTGCCGTTTAACTTTGCACTAAAACAAAGACGATGAAATATAAAATAGTTATTCTTCTGTTCAACCCAACATTATAATCTAAGCTCTGATTTTTTTTTCTTTAAGTTCAGGGTTAAATTTGTGGAAATACAAATTCATCAGTTCAAATATAGTAACTATATTTGAGGCTTTAAAAAGTTAGTGACTAGCTCATATAATCTTATTATGCTTTGAAACATTACAATACAATCTTTAGGATACTATCTTCAGATTCTTTATTGAGTAGTAATCACTTTTCTTCGGATTTAGAAAATAAGAGTTTACTTACTTAGAAAACACAAGCACGGTAGATGTTGGGTTAAAAAAAGTGATCTAAATCTTTCAACAAAGGCAGATAATTGTACGCTCTCTTGAAGAATCCAGCCTGGATTCTTACAGCAACAAAAGTTGATTTTACGATGATGGAAAGACAATTCAGTGACGTCAAAACAAGATGTAACACGCCAGGAGTAATTTTTGTTAAAGTTTCAATTTTGTTTGTTTGTAGTTAAGCACAAAGCTGCACAATGGGCTATCTGTACTCTGTCCACCACAGGTATCTAAACCCGGTTTCTAGTGGTATAAGTCCACAGATATACCGCTATGCCACTGGGATGGAAAAGTTTTGAAACTCAGGTTTAAAGAGAATAGATACCGAAATTAAAAAAGATAAATAAAGGTAAATTTTGGTAAAGTTTCAAAAAAAAACTATATATATATATTAGCGTAGCGCTACACATCAGGCTATCTGCACTCCGTCCACTACGAAGAATCAAATTCCGGATTTTAGGATTGTAAGTTCGTGCAATTACCGTTGAGATACTATGTGGTATAAAATGTATTAAAAACAATAGATAAAATTAAGAAATTATGTATGGTAAAACTTTCATTGAAAAATATAATTAAAATTAAAGAATTGTGAATAGAAAGAGGTAATTTATCTCGATCCTGTAATTGTAACTGCTGCCCTCTGTTGGACAAATATGTGACTGAATAAATAGAGTTGTTTAAATATTTGTTAAACAA